CAATTTTCTCTTACTCATTCAATTCTCACACAATTTTCTCTCTCTTTTTTCTCTCTTAGGTAGGACTTGCTGCAGCAGCACAGTTGAATAAACTGATTGACATAGGACTTCCTTTAGAGAAGTTACATATAATTGGTTTCTCATTGGGTTGTCAAGTGGCAGGTTACACTGCAAGGGAACTCAAGACAAGATACAATAAGATCGTCAAAAGGTACTCAGCATTTCATATCTTTAAGTATGAGAGAGCCAAGTTTCGACCTGAATGTGCCGGCTCAACCGGAGTGATAGATACCACGGACTTACAGAAAACTGGAGTGAAACACCTAATGCATTGTATTTCGCCGTGTGAATGACTTTACGGGAGACCCATTCCTTCCCTTTCCCCTATCCCTCCCCAATTCTTCAATCTCCAAAACCCTAATCCCTAATATGCCGGTTTGTTAACTCCTCTAGCGTTACGTATATCCATCGTCATCGTGAATGCTTATGATCGTTTGATAATTCAGTAATCAGTATTATCATTGACCGTCCTCTCAAACAAAAAGAAATCCTCCTGATCTTTTCCCAATTAATTTAAGGGTTCATACTAAATCTGCAACACATGACAATATCACTTTTAATGTACCTCCTGAGATTTGGGCAAGCCTTTTCTTATTTATCTCTCTATTACTTTTATACAAAACTTTTGGATTTTCAGGTTAACCGTCCTTGATCCCGCTTATCCATCGTTCTATCCTGGTGGTCCGTTGTTACAACATGTAAACGCCGGAGATGCAGAATTCGTCGATGTCATACACACTGACGCCGGTGGTTATGGTGCTCCGGTACCAACTGGAACGGCCGACTTCTGGCCAAACGGTGGCCAACGCCCACAACCAGGATGCCCTCTCTTTGCCCCAATACCACTATCCGATGCTAGTAAGTTTTTACTTACTATAAATTAGCTTCTTTGAGTGCTTGCTAAATCTATACTAAATCTATACTTAATATTAGAAAGCTGAAGAGTGTGTTTGTTTGTTTGAAAGCGATAATCTCAGGAACTACTCTGGTTTGAGTGAAAAATCCTTTGTGTTTAATACACCATTTATTGAGAAAGGCTTCTTAGTATAAAACATCATGATACAATTTGTAGCATGATGATGCAGCGAGTGAAACCGCGCGAGAATAGCTAGCATTTTATAAAGCTAAGCTGATTAATAATTTATACTTAATTAAATTGTTGGTTTTGGATTGATTCCTCCCAAACCTTTTTGAGGGTGAAACATCATCAAATGACAACTATTCAAATCACCCTTGCTCACTGTCTTGCCTGCGTTTTATTTTTATTTTTGGATCCGGAGATCGTATATAATAGATACTTTATTGTAAAAAATAATGGCGCATCAATTAGTACATTTCTACTTATATATTTGACTACGCGAACTGCGTCATGCTTCTTTTATCTAACGACACGTTATTCCTAATTTTAATAGCTTCAACTGTTTTACTAATTTATTTGTAAAAAAATTCAGATCTATGCAGTCATTGGAGATCATGGCAGTACTACGCAGAATCAGTGAGGAACCCTGAAGCTTTTCCTGCTTCTCCTGCATTATCTTATCCTCACTTTCAAATGAGCCAAAACCATGCGCAAGGAATGGTGTACATGGGATATGGATGTAATAAAAAGTAAGTTGAGAGTAATGCGAGTTCCACAATGCGGTGCGCCGCGCAACGGTAAACCGAGCGAGACCTAACGCACTCACGCGCAGTTAACTGCACCTAAGTTGTGTTTTCTATACAAATTTTGCTATTTACATACAGTGCGTCCGACGTATCTTGGCGAGTCTGAAGTTAGCTGTTTGTCTGCGCAATGGATCTTTAAGGAACAAAATTCTGTACTGCGTAGCTAATCGGCTAACTTCAGACTCGCCAAGATACGTTGGCGGTGGTGGCGGTATTGTATGATGTTAAGATCTTCTATCCCAGACCAAACGACGGAATCCGGTGCAGTGTAGTCTATCATACGTCTAAAATGCAATTAATATTTACGCATATTTGTAGACTGCGTATACACTTACATAACTTACATATTATTGAACAATTCACGTATATTTTATGTCCGACACATTATAGAAATTGAGACTAGTAACGCCATCTTATTTTTAATGATCGTTTTTGAATTCTTCTTACATTATAAACGCGGTTTTTTCGTAAATATGGATGGATAGATTTTTGTTACACATCACGTCAAAACTAATGAATTTATTTTGATTGAAATCGTCACTGAGTTTTATTATAATCTGGAATAACGCAAAGGCATTTGTCCAAGTAGTATGAACAAACCTATTGGTTGAGTAAGTAGTAAGTCTATAAAATACAACAATAAAAACTATACTTTAATATTTTAATTTTAATCAAGAGCTACACAGTTATTACTGTCCATGGTAATATAAATTGATGTTTTCCAAAAACAGATATAGTGCATCTACTAAGATATCATTATAAGTTCTTATTTTGTACATAATGACAATACTACATAAAACGGATAAACTATGATCGTCTTGTGTTTTACATTACAAAACGAGTACTGAAAAGTTTCACTTGAATACCTATATTATACCAAAATAATACCAAAAAATAATGTAACTGAAAAACAATTACATATTTCAATTTGTTAACCAAACAATTACTATTTCTGTTTCGCAATCAGACAATTTCAAATATACGTTTCGAAAAAACCTATCATAAAATATCATCAGACGCAATTTATAGCTCATAATTATTGACCTGACATTTCTAGACTGAAGTCTAGACTCTGGTTAGTGAACAGTCAAAAGCTTTCTCTTTATACCTGGTGTGATGTAAGATGTTTCATGTCTTCAGACTCCTTTTTTTTAAACGTTGCCCCAGTCTGGGGTTTTCTCTTGTCGTGGGTGCATTAACAAACATACAATCTAATATTATAAATGAAAAAGTTACGATGTTTGGATGTTTGTGAGACAATCACGATAAAAGGACTGGACGAGTTTAGGTGAAATTTGGCATAGGATACACACCGGAATAGGACATAGGCTACTTTTTATCCACAAACCAAAAAGTCAAAAGTCAAAAATCATTTATTCCAATTAGACCTTTACAGGCACTTTTGAACGTCAAACTAAACTTTGAAGATATATGTAGTGTCAGTCTGTCGGTCAGTCCTCTTAGTGAAGCTATTTCACCACCACCAACCACGGGGGAGAAGCCACGGGTAGATGCTAGTTTCACATACATACCACACCCAACCCGGAACCACAACTTGTGGATCAAAAAGATTGTTCCGTGCGGGAATCGAACCCACAATACGTTACGTACGTCACGTCCGTGCAGTCAATCCTCCTACTCCTTATTGAGCATTGATGAATAATGTATTTGTTTCTTTTGCAGTGCCCGAGGGAATTACTACTTAACTACGAATGCGCAGCCACCTTATGGAAGAGGACTGAACGGAATATAAAAAGCATTTTTTTTTATATTGTACACTTGCGACCCAATTAACAGCATTTTTTTTAAAGAAAATCGTTACTTAGAAGTACTTTCAGTAATTATTGCATTTTTCTAAGAACACTAGTTTATATTATGGTTTTATCTATACTATATTATTAAAATTATAAAGCTGTAGAGTGTATTTGTTTGAACGCGCTAATCTCCGGAACTGCTGGTTTGAATTGAACAATTGGTTTTGTGTTTACTCCATTTATCGAGGAAGGCTATCTATTGTAAGCTATAAAACATCACGCCACGATATGTAGGAGCCGAGCAGCGGGTGAAACCCTGGGACAGTAGCTTTTATAATAAATTTGGAGATGATTGTGATGACATTATTAATATACTAACTTGTGACCCGCCCTGACTTCCCACGGGTGCAATGCTAAGACTGAATTTCCCCACTAATTAATGTATGTTATTTTACATAATATAAAACTTCCCCTTCAATCACTCTCACCCGGTTTCTGAAAGGCTTGTCAACGCTAAGATTAACTAATCTTCTGTTAAATCTCTTATCAAGTCATCTGATTGGTTGCTGATAATTCAGTCAACCAATCAAATGACTTGACTAGAGATTAAATTGATTTTAACATTGATCGGCCTTTCGGAAACCGGGGTAAATCTGTAAAAAACCGCATCAAAATCCGTTGCGTAGTTTTAAAGTTTTAAAAATACATAGGGATATAGGGACAAAGAAAGCGACTTTGTTTTGTAATATGTAGTGATATGGTTTTGTCCTCGCGTACCTATCTAATATGTGAATTTAAAAATGTAATTTTCATTGATTGTTTGTTTGTGTCGTATTGTACTTTTTCATTCTATTATTTGTGTGTGTGTCATATATTTTTTTTTGTAATATTATAAATTAGGGGTACTTCTTTAACATGTTTTATTACAAATTATAACAATAAATATATATTTTTTTACCTTTGCATTTTTTTCGCACTTTTAGTAGTAACTGGCAGATATAACATAAAAAACAAAACAAATTAAAACACCATTGATGTAATTATACAATTTTAATTAGTTATTTATTATATAAATAACAAATCAAATTATATTAAACTTTAAGCAAAGTAAGTTGAATGCAAAGATCCCAGGAGAAAACGTTAGAATGATGTCTTAAACCTGTTAGCCTCCCGTAGCTACATTGACACATTTGACCTCAATTCGGTTATAGGGTCGCTGAAACCCATCCTGTTGTCAGATTTCCATTTACTTCAGTGACAGGTTACGATGTCAAATCCGTCTCTACTCAACATTAAGAGCACTCTCCTCTCTAATTAGAGATTAATTGAATCAGGGAGCGACGGAGAGCCCTTTGTCGGTTACGCGCATAAAACGCCCTCTCCGTCAAACGAACCCCTTAAAAAGAACTTTTCAATTGTATCTAAATGAATAAAGTTCGATTAATTTCGTAATCATGGTGATAAAGAATCGATTACGGATTATAAATTTCGAACGTTTTTAAACACTCTTAGCGGAGTTTCGCTGGTATGTGAGTCAGTTGGCCGCCACGCGTAGACGGCGTCGCACGTAGCGCCATGTTCCGCGCGGTGTCAGACGGCTGGAAGCGATATTGGTGGGGAACAGGTACGGAACAAATAATCACGACTTCCTCAATAAAATACCAAATTATTTATGTCGGAATAAATCGCAAATAAAACTATATTGTTTTATGGTTAGCCAGCGCAAGTGTTCTTGGTAGTTTTTCGAAAAATGTAACGGCAAAACGAAGAAATGAAGGCGCTTGTAGTACTATCATCGTAATGTTTTTATGGGGTATTGTTTTAAGGGATAATTGTTTATAGAAACGTATACGATGAGCGTCGTATTGCTGAAAAAGAAAAGTCGTGTTGTGTAAAGGGTGCTAGCCGGTGCGAAGTACAGCGTACCTGACAAGTTTAAAACTATTTGTGTCTGCGTTCGTTCAACTTCGCGCGCGCTCGTGCGTTTCCGGAGCACGTGGTAAGGGGACCGCGTTTGACAGGTGTGAGCTGTTTGCAAAACCGATAACAACATTCGCTTGCCGGTTTTTTGGGAAGATAGTGTCTCGTGCATTGTGTGGCGACAATACGTTGTATTGTTCAGTGCAATCTACAAAAGATTCGATACGATATCATAATGGATGACTAAATTCGAGTAATTTGTCATAACATCTGTATGAATAGCATGTGAAGTTAATTACGTCTTTAAATGGCTATATAATTATAATTACCTGTTTTTAATTGCTAGTTATTATAATATAAATTACCTGTAAGAAAATTGTTGGTATTATAATAAATAGTTCGTCAGAAAATATTAGAATAACTCAGAAATATTAATTAAACTCGTAAATATTTGCATCACGTTTGTATCACGTACCAGACCTAGATACTAAAAAAGTTTTATGAATAAAAATTTCCTTTTTAATTTACCGGTCAACTTAAAATGACTATCTACTACTGTATTATACTTATTTATTCCAAAGTCCTTGAGATTAGCTAGATGACAAGAATTACAATTACTATAATAGGCTAATTAAAATGCCGCATATTATTATCTGAACCGTGATTCTAAGTGGCCTGAATATTTATTTGTGAGCGGTATAAAAATTTAAAAATAATGCATTATTAATTTACATTTTTTTGCTAACATCCATATAAATAATTAATTAATTACTTTTTCATCGATAGTAAGATAATAAGAAAAAATAAAATAATAAAATATGAATACCCTTTTTCCGCAATTTTTTAAAAACAACCGTTGAGTTAATATTCAGTGACACAAAATACGTATTTATTCATGTAATTATTCTTTTTAACTTGAAAAAGGGAATATTTAAATAATAAGTAAGTAGTAATAATTTTATTATTTATACCTGTGGAAGTGTTTTCTTTACAAAATACCACGTTTTACACAAAATTTACTAGACTGAGTACAAATCGAGATTACAATAGGAAAATATGTGTTTTTGATTAGGTACCAAAGCCGTTAAAAAACCGCTGAATCATTGTTTATATTATATTGTTAAAATTCATATATTATTACAATTAAAATATATTTTTTACCTAGCTTTGTTCAAAACTTTTTTGTCACATTTTCCCACTACCTAAAACCTTGCATTCAAAATATGTATTACTAGCTTCGCCCGCGGATCCCAGGTTTTTAAAAACAGCAGCATTTAAAGCGATAGCTTGACTAAAATACTCAAATCAAGTATAATTTATAGCACTCGGGAACATTGCAGCCATCAGTAAAAGAATTTTGGAAATCCTACTAGAGGTTCCAAAGATTACCACCTACATATTCCTAGTACCTATAGATTCTAAATATAATTAAACATTCAAAAACATAATAACTTTTGAAACTTAATTAATTTTTTTCACTTCCGCGATCGGTTTCAAAAAGCCAGACGCATTAAATAACTAATCGCCGAAATGCATAGGCATTACATATTATAAAATGCAGTTTGTTACTTTCGCTTCATGAAAGGCTAAACTGGTTTGACTATTGTGAACTTTTCTTAAAAAGCCGAGGTTAAATTCTGGTTTAATTCTTTAAGAGTTTAATTATAAACACATGAATGAATTGAAGGAAAATTAGAAAAAAAGCGCAACCTCTTTTATTTGGGCTTTTTTATTATTTTGCTTACTCACCCTTATATAGGTACCTATATATCTTAAGGATTCAGTTTAGTGAAACATTTTAAAGTGTATATCCTAATTTTAACTTACGTAATAATCGTATAATATATCTAATATTGTATTTAAAAACAGACGGAACTATAAATACTAAACTAAGTTATCAACTAATTTTGACGTAGCACGGATTACTGCTGTCGTATTTTCAATGTTAATAATAAGCATAACTAATTCCTAATATGAATTTAAGATTCAATTTCAACGAACATACAGCAACTCATGAACTTTATAATGATAATGTATTTGTAGTGATGTATTAGCTATTATTTCTTCTTAGATACCTTAGGCCGCAAAGGCTAGTTCACCTTGAAACGTCACTACAACTATATAATATATAAGCCTACTTATATGGTTCTCTGATGCGGAATAAATAATTATATATATGTCTATCGGCATCGGCTTTAAAAACCTAACAAATTATTTATTTACAGTTTCTTTTGTTATTTAATGTTTATGCTATATAATACATAACATTTTCCGATCGACGTTGCATTTTTTATATTATTCTTCTAATATATAAAAATGAATAGCAAAATGTGTTGGTAAGCGCATAACTCAATAACGCCTGGACCAATTTTGCAGATTCCTTTTTAACCCCCGACGCAAAAAGAGGGGTGTTATAAGTTTGACGTGTCTGTCTGTCTGTGTGTCTGTCTGTCTGTCTGTCTGTGGCACTCTGGAGCCTGAACGGGTGAAGCGATATCAATTTAGTTTTTTTTGTATTAAAGGTGACTTACGTGCGGGTGTTCTTAGACATGTTTGACGAAAATCAGTTGAGCCGTTTAGAAGTTATGGTAAGTGGGGAAGGGTAACCGAAGGTCTGCAAATATACTTGAGTGGGATCTCAAATGAAAGCGCACTGAAAGTGAATGTTGATGACTTAATCTAGAGAAAATGATATAAAATACCTATGAAAATATAGACTTGATAAATCGTAATTTAGGTAACGCGTGAATTTCGCTGCCTGGCACAAGCTAGTAGCATATCAACCATAATTATTGTAACATAGTAAAGTAAAAAATAAAACTCAAAAATATATTACTTTTGACTATAACAGGTATTTCTTGTTTCTACCATGGGACCATAAAAACTTTTATCTATAATAAATTTTTCATTGAAAACAATTGGAATACGAATGAGAATTAGATAAAAAATAAACTAGTTTTAAAACTTTAAATTAAATAAACACTTTCTGTACTATTCCACGTGTAAAGTTTTTTTTTATTCTGTATCCTGCTAAGCACAGCAATCTGTCGTAGACATTTAGCTATTCTGTTGTTTGAGCTATCTCTGAAAAATTGTCAAGTTGAATTGCCATGTGTAAAGTGTTAAAAAAAATCTGTTGCCCCACACTAGGAATTCTCCTGTGTCGTGGGTGCGTTTACAAACATATAATTTCACATACACATCACACCAAGACTCGGAACAACAATTTGTGGATCACACAAAGAGTTGTTTAACTTGACCCTTCTCCCATAAAAGAAAAACTTAGTTACCAAAATAAAAAAAAAAATACACGTAGTAAAACATTTTTTATTCAAAAGCATATCTATATAAAAAATCAATGCCACTTTTCGTTGTAATGTTATAACTCAAAAATGTCTTTACGGATTTGGCTAATTTTGGTCTTGAATTCTTCGTGGAAGTCCAAAGAAGGTTTGTACGTAGAAAAATCTTGAAAAGTGTAAAATCGATATCCAGGCGGGTGGAGCCGCAGGAGACCTGTAGTATTATTTAGAAAAAATAAACACACTGTGTATGCTGTTACAGTCAGCTGTTAAAGTTATGGAAGAATAACCGGCTGCCGTGCAATGTGTCTCAGGTTCTTAAACTCTTTGTATAAGTACCTATATTTGATTAACAAATATTTGATTCTTCGCGTCGTAAAGACTTGTATTGTGTGGGTGAAATTTGAATGTTTGTAAACGCGACCTACGATAACATATAGGACAAAATTCCAATGTAAACTTTTCAGTCTTTGTTTATATTTTAAATAATAATGGTAAAATACAATTTTTAATTGAATTTTATTAATTTTTCGACCATTGTTTCACCAGCATGACAAAACTATGATAAATTATACATTTAAACCTTTTTAAAAGACTTGAAATAATGAAACTTGTCACTATACCCATAGGTGTGAAAATTATTCAAAAATCTTAAACGATTTATATTATAAATTCTAAATTCGGATTAATTACAACCACAGCGTTGTTTTCACCGTGTGAGTGAGGTTACCGGAGGCCCAATCCTTCCCCTTCCCCAATCCCTCCCCAATCCCTAAATCTCCAAATCCCTAATCCCTAAAAGGTCGGCAAAGCACTCGTAACTCCTCTGTTGTGGGTGTCCATGGGCGGCGCTGATTGCTTACCATCAAGTAATCCAACTGCTCGTTTGCCAACCTATTACATAAAAAAAATACTTTCGTATTAATAATTATATTTTATGAATACAAAATATTACAAAAATAGTAAATTTATATCTAACTAAGATGTTTCAAGAAATACCAGGAATCATTAATCTTTCAAGGTAAAAAAATGCAGGTAAATATTATTGTCAGTAACTACAGTAGTTAACATTTAACCTCTACACAGAACCTGTCATGTACTACACTAACTACTTATTGTATAGTTCAAAAGAAACTTTAAACGAACCATCAATCAAAGTTTAACAACAGCATTTATCTTTCCGGTTAATTATTTAAGTATTTGTTAAACTTCTAAGTATTTTAAATTTTATTTAGTACTAAGTACGGTTTGAAATGCATTGACAATTTGTTGTTTTGTTACTTTTCGCTATGAAAACCTGTATAAAACTGACCATTGAATTTGCTAAATGGAAACAATAATACTTGTATTGTATATACTTAAATTCCTGCAATTTTTTGAAACAAAATCGTTACTTAGGAAT